CATGAACAACCTCATGAACAACCGTAGAAGTTGAAAATGTGTGCACTTTTCTTTGAAAGAGTTCTCACTAATCTTGTTTCTTGATGAATAAACACAGGCAAAAACAAAGCCAACTAATTTAAACTATTGCTTTTATTATAATTACACGGGAGCACAAATAAATAAGCACAAAAGTATTTAAAATATTGTCAATGCACTGAAGAAAACAATCTGTTTTCAAACAACATCTGGTTACTTCAGTAGTATCAAAGTACATTTATAATTACATGTTACCTAAAAAAATCAAGTACAAAAATTAAGAGAAATTAAAACATCAGTGTTTATATTATTATGTATATAGAAATGGCTAACAACACTTGAGTAGAGAAATCTGTTATCTAATGCTTATTTGCACAATTTTTTCAGGCACATACCTGACATTTTTAATGAGTTACGAAAAATGCAATATGACATTCAGATTTTTAGATACGGTAAACAGGTTATGTTGGAATGGATGTTAAATGGTTTCCTTTAAAAACCCTGTCTTTTAAAAATGTAGTGCCATTATTCACTAAAAAACATATTATTTTATATAATTTCCTCAATAGCTATTTGTTTCCATTTCTTGAAAAGAGCAAGAAAGTAAACATACAATTGCTAAATACGTAAACACATTTTTAGTGCAAGATAACAAGACCTGTGACTTGACTGTGCTTTGAGTTTTATCATCACAGTGCACTTTACACAGATTGCTACACTACAAATGTTAACTTAAGAACTTTCAAACCAAAGAAGTGCATACTAAACATTTTCCTATATATTATATACAGTATGTATACTGTATGTGGCTGTATACACGTGTAAATGTAGATACTTGTAGGGTGGACAAACCCAGTCCCATTTGGGAACAATTGAACACTTCAAAGATTTTCAGGTATGCTTGGGAGAGAAATCCAACAATATCTCTGTAACGATGTTTCCCCTTAAATTTGAAATTATATAACATTTAGATGGAAACCTACAGACATTTTTTTTCCAGATTAAACATATTTTGCCACGATGTAATTGACCCAAATATTAAAAGGTTTTAAATGAATCTAAACCCCAAGCGATAGCGTTCAAGTCCAACATAGCAAAACTCTTACTGATTTACTGACAGACAGTGGTACGTAGTCTATGCGCACATATAGAGCCTTACACATAAACATCTGTTATACTTAGACATTGACTTCAATATGTCTTACTGTTTTATTTTGACTGTACATTTGATCTGAAAGAAAAGAGAATACCATATACAGACACAGAAGTTATGCCAAGCACATGTGATAGTGTATATCTTAAAAACAAGTGGTTTTGTTTTGAAAATATTCATGATTGCATAATTAAGCTTTTTAAAGGTAGGGCCACATCTTTTTGAATGTTTTAATGCCAAATGCTTCCAAAAAAAACTTTAAAAGAAAATAACTGATACGTAAGTTGCTCAAGAGTAAACTATTAAGTGAATAATAGATTAATAGCAAATTGTCCACATTCTAGGGTAAGCTATCAATTTTTCCATTTAGAGAAGATGGATTGAGTTATCTTCAATGCTATAAATACCATTTTTCTTTCACTTCCATTTAAATTTGAGTCATAGTGAGTTAGCAATTGCTATTCTAATCTACTTCTATTCCCTCACAAAGGTGAATTACCTCTCCTCTCAGATCACTGCTTAAATCATAGGACTTTTCTTATGTTCATAGGTAGCCAAAGTTAGCTTACAGGTTCTTTTCCATTTCAGGCAAGTGACTCACCTCGACATGTAAGTGCTATGAAAACTGCATTCTATGCACATTATTTGGATGTCTTATTTAGTTAAAACCAGGTCCTGATATGGTTGTTCAATGTTTTTGACTTGCTCATTAATCTCGCTCAAAAGTCAGGATGAGGCTAAAAAGCCAAAATGTAGTAAGAAAGATGTTTCCCTCTTCTCTGGAAGCAGTCAAAGAAAACTATCTCGAACTTCGGTGTCTCTGAAGTCCGGTGTCATTCTTCTGAAAAGTGAAGTTCCCTCTAGTTGTCTCCACGCATTGCCATGTGTTTGAGGGTGTCTATTCTGAAAAACTACACAGTAACCTCTGGTGTTTTGTTTGGTTTCACTTTCCCAGCAATTTTACATGGGCAGACATTCACTTTGACTGGCACATGTCAATCGCTTTTCACTCCACCCTTGCTTCAGCAGCATGAACATGGGGAAGGGGGCAGTGTTTATGTAAAGAACTCCTGTGCTGGCCACTGGGAGTGGGCAGAAATGTGGGGTTTGGTTTGTCTCTTCTCTGCGAAGGAGTTTCTCACATATAAAAGCATCTTGCTGACAGCCAATAAAATTCGATTTCTCTGAAGTTTGCTGTGAAAAGACCATTTTTTCCTAAGTATGGGCGCTTTCCACCTGCTAACCATGCCATGATAAGATTTATTCTTGGCATTTAAAAATCTGAGCTTCGTCATTCGATGGTGTTCTGGCTGTAGGTGGATATTTTTTCATCTTCTGCCCAAATTTATAGACTGAAATGTCCTAATTGATGGCCACTAGAGAATAAGCTTCTTTCCTTATCCTATCCACCTGTTTCCTCCACATAAAGAAACATATACTAAGAGGAAATGCACTGTAGAATGGCGAAGCCAGAACGGACAACGTATAGGCACATAGTAACAGTTCTTGAGTGAACGGCAGTGATGCCCCTTTTTAATTACTTCTCATTGAAGGCAAGATTTGAAGAAATTAAATGGAAATGGTGGCCAAAGATCAGATTTTAAACAAGTTATCCTTCTGGAAAATAACTTACTTGGAAAAGCAGTACCTGAAGCCTGGCAACAGCATGCGTTGGGCAGAACAAATGGGAATGGCTGAATCCAGCCCCCAGCATTCTAGTGCCTCTTTCCTTCCAGACAAGAGGCCAGCATTGAAAAAATACCTCCTGCTTAATTCAGAGAGATATGGAAAAGAGCAGCAGCATCTGAAAAACACACTTGCATATGTTCCCAAAATGTAAAGTTCCTGGGTATTATCCAGCCGTGACCCTACGGAGCCTGAATAAACATGTACATGAAGATCATCACCAAGATGCTGAGAACAGACGTCTCATGTCTGATTGGCTGGCTGTAGTATATGTGGTCCTAATAGCCTAAATCAGTATAACAACTTGGGTCATAAGCACATATTTTAATTCTGATTTTATCTTAACACCTTTTTATTACTCAAATTTGTGTCCCATGGGTGATTGGGTTTCATAACTGGTGAAACATGGCAACAGGGTTGATTTAAACTCTTTACAGTCCCTCCTGTGATTCCCGAACCTGTGATCCTGCACTGTGTCACCACTTCAGGTATACGGGCAAAACCTAAAACGTTAGAAAGCATTCGACGTCCACAGTTCTCCCACCGCGTCCTCATTCATGCGCGCACACGACAGACACACATGCTCCCACTTACCTTTTTTTGTTATTCTTTTTTTTTCAGAATTCTCATTGGACACCAAAATAGACATTAATTATAAAATATAAAAAATTATCTTCTACGATTTCAAAGGCTTTGAAAGGAACGATTACTGATAAAGCAGTACCAGGTCTTTAGAAGTATAGATTACAAAAATTCCCTAGCTCCTGTTATATTTGGTTTGATTAAGCAACACTGCGCTATTGCTGTCAAAACCCTTACAAGGAAAACCACTATGACAATAACTCAAACACATACCTTGTCTCTCAGAAATATAATACTCAGTTGATTGTTAAAGAAGAACCACATACTGTCAATTTTAGGAAGCATAAATAGTAATTTAAATATACAAAATATATGTGATAGTTTCCTTTTTATTCATTTGTGGCAATATTTATATTCAACTAACAAGCTCTTCTCAAAAGATATATATGATCTGCTTAACTTAAATTTCACCACCACATAAAATTGAATCCACCCCGTCCCCGATCCCCTGCATTTCCTGTTTCTTCCTTGAAATAAAATAAACATGTGGTCATAAGTCTTTGGTCATGGTGTCATATTTAGTGGGAATGGGTGTGATGACCATGCACAGAAGTTTGCGACCCAAAAATGTGGTCATAACTAGGTTGAAAAAGTTAACAAGAAATACCATTTCATTAAGAGACCTCAATTTTGCAGAAGATTGGCATTTAGTGTCCTAGAATCTGTAAACGCATCTTGTGAGATGTTTATTTCTCATCTTCTGGGGGGACAAACAGACCCGTGAGAAGTGACTTAGAAATAGTGGTTGCCATGGCTGCAGTGCCACAGGCCCCGCCTTCTTGAAAGGAGTCTCACTATTTAGCTTTTGATCCCTTGTTCCTTCCTTTGTCACAGTGAACCCTGGTCTCCTCCAATCAGATCGACGATGCAAGGACAGGTGTCCCTAAAGCCATTTCTGAAGGAAATGTTTTCTGCTGGGATGTCCAAATGTATCCTAATGACTTTCTCTGGACTCTAATCATTGCTTAGTATCAAGATGATATTAAAGAGAAATTCTTATAAAGCCAGTGCAGCAAAAACATTGGTGTTGCTGTCATGTGGGCGTCCAAATGGAGCATTGTGCTTGCATTTATTTCCTGTCAAACTCTTAACAACGCACAAAGCAACAGGTGTTCTTAATGAATATGATATTGAGCTTGTACTCACTAGCACCAGATCATATATTGTGTGATTAAACATGATTTATAGTTGTGAGCTCTTGTACAGAAGACAAATGTGGGCCGAAAAAATATTTTAACTGCAAAAATCAATAATAAAGGCATCCAGGGATTACATTTAGAAAAGAGATAACAAACCAGTTAATACCGAAATTATATCATATAGTAAAACTCTTGATATTTATGTCATTTATATATGTATAATGCGTATTATTTCAGGTGTCACACATAAACTAGTAAAATATGTACACCTTAATCTCTTCTGGATTCAAAATAATCCGTGACAAATAAGTGTGCCTTAATTGCAAGGACATATACATTTTATTTTGAACTTGCCATGAGTAGGCACAGCTCCCCGTGGGTTTTCCAGGGAAGGGCTGGCATTCCGTTCCAACAGAGAAGGTATGTAACAGTTGCTTAGACATGACCGAGTCGACCTCCCTCTTCCCGCTGAGTCTCGTGGAGCGCACGCCATTGTGTACGCAGTCATATGGCAGTGTCCCAGAATACCGTGTGCTGTTTAGAATAGGGTGGAGGGCTGTACTTCTTTGTACCTGCGTTCTTTTTCCAGCTGGGTAGGATAGGCATGCTATCCTGCTTGCAAAGGCCCTTTTCCGTTTTCTGTCTAGCCTTTATTTCCTTGCACAAGCATCGCTTTTTCTCAATCATCTCAAGCATTGTATGGTCTCCATGAACCCACTGCATGCAAGCCACCTAGCAAAAAAGAAAGAGTGAATGCAGAAGGAAAAAATGGAATGAAGGCAGGGGTTTTTATTTGTTGTCGCTTTTGTTTTTAGCACTGTGCTAGCAGTTGTTTCGAAACATAAAAATGTCCACTGTTTGAAAGTCTTACAAGGCAAAATTAAAGTATAGAAATTATAAATAAAATTTCTGCTTCAATGAGCAAACAATGTGATGTTATGACATAATAATTTAGGCATGCATATTTCTCAGTAGGTTGTAAAAATGCCACTATGGAAATAAAAGCTATTTTTATTCTTGTAAGCAATTTGTCAAATATTTACCTATTACTTTTATGTTGACGCCATTGTCTTATAGGTCCCAATGTGTCTACATTTTATAGATGTTAATGAACATTTCCATTCTTGAAATAAAACTTGGGCTTGTTTATAAATAGCATATAGAATTAAAGACAACAATGTAATCGAGCCATAAACCAGGACAGGGAAATTACCACTTAATTGTTTAAGCAAATCTACTGTATAACTAGAAAGGGTAAAATACTTCACTTGGAGTCCCTGAACCTTAGCATAATAAAAAGAGCAAATACTTATCTAACACTCTATACCACATCCCATTTGAGTACTTTGCATAGCAGAATTCATTTATCTCACCACGATGACACTCTGGAGAAAGTACTATTAATTAACCCACAATGATGAGTAAAATGAGACAGAGATATGGTGACGAGTCTGAGGTCACAGAACCAGTGGATGGCGAGTTAGGATTTGAACCCTAGAGTTCATCTCCAACACTTGTGTCTTTGACAACTACACCATACTAACCCTCTGTATACACAGAACTGAAAAGGATCGGAAGATAAATTAGTACAATGCCCTCAATGTACAGATGAGGGCGTTAAGACTTCAAGAAGTTCTGCCTCTTTGAAAGCCAAGCATATGGGTTTTGGTGTGAACAGGGCAATATCAAATTCTCGCACTTCCTCACCTCTTTATGGAGAGGTCAGGACCGAGAGCTAAAACACAAGGTTCCAGATCCCCTACTCTCCCCACTTACTGGCTTCTCTCTCTGATTAAGTGAACTGATAATACCTCCATTTCAGAAGCTGCTATAAGGATTAAATGGGATAATGAAAGTGAAGCCATTTTTTAAATTTATTTGTATTTAGTGGTTTGGAGAGAGAGAGAGAAAGAGTAATTTTCCGTACCTGCTTTCTGCCAAGCCTGCGCAAACAGCTCTATGTGTTACATTACACCCTCCCAGTTGCAATGGAAGTTAGGATTCATCAACATACTACAAGTGAGAAAACTGGCTCTCAGAGACTGAGGGCAGTAGATCAAGGTCACCGCTTATTAGCTGTGAAATAGACATATGAAACTCAAATATGTTTGACTAGAAAATGAATATTCTTTCTACTACAGCATGTTCACCTCCTGAATGTTATTTAGACATTATAATAATACTATTGTTTTATACACTACAGTTTCCAGATGCTACTCAAAAATGCAGATGTATTTATGGCTTTATGATTCAATAAAAAGTGCTTATCAGATAAAACAAAGTCAAGGAACTTGGAGCCCCCAAATAATACTGCTAGATAAAGTTCTTCTATGTGCCTAACTTGATATAAAATTCCTTGAACAGTCTGGCTGTGTTTTATGCCTTTTGGTATCCTCTGGCCCTGAGCTCAGAACCTTGATCATGGGTGTTCACTTCTTTGGGGGGGGGGGGGCAGTACGTGCCCATAGCGGGAACTGAACCCGGGACTCTCTGGTCCGCAGGCTGACGCTCCAACCACTGAGCCAAATTAGCCAGGACAGGATGTTCACTTTTTAAATGCAATTCCAGGTGTTTGTTGAGTGAATATAACTGTCAGGTTTCTGTCCCAATAACAGATTGCCACACAGCTTGAGATTTTTTCAAAAGATTTACACAATATTTTGTAAAGTAATAACCTATGCAATAAAAATACAGTAACTCTAAAATGGTGAAAATACAAGCAAAATTTATTGTGACTATAAACTGTTATAAATGGAATTGATAATCCCCAATTTTCAGAGCATAGGCTCCAAATCTCTTCCATCTCAGTAGCCCCAACATGCTAAACAGTAATTAAATGCTCAATAAAAATTGTACGCATCAATAGAAGCCACCATCATTAACAGTTTCTGTGGCCTCTTAAGAAACTCTCCAGATAAGATACTTAACAGCATTACTTCAATATTTGCATAGTATTTACTACTCACAAACATTAAACCATTTACTACTTGATTTGTTTTAATATTTTAGGTTGTGAATCATTATAGGTGACTGAAAAATAATTTTTCTGGATTAATTCAGACAAGTGACACCAATATATTTCACAGTTGTCATTACATTTTATTTAGGCATAACTGTAACACATCATCTATAGTAAGTGTGTGTTTTTAGTCCACGGAAGTTTATGCTGCATAAGTATGTCAATTTGTTAAGAATAATCCATTGTGTAAAAATCTAAAGATAGAAGTTTAAGAATTAAGTTATAAAGTATGGTTTCATATTATTTACATTATTTACTTATTTTTAATCCTCACCGGAGGATATTTTTCCAATTATCTTCAGATGGAGTGGGAGGGGGGGAGAAAGAGAGAAAGAGAGAGAAACATTGACATAAGAGAGACACATCGAGTGACTGCCACCCGCACGACCCCAACCGGGCCCAGAGACGAACCGCAACCAAGTACGTGCTCTTGGCCAGAATCGAACCCACTACTCTTTGGTCCACAGGCCGACCCTCTAACCACTGAGCAAAACCAGCCAGGGCTTACTTACATTTTTATTTTAGAATATTTATGTATTCATTTGATTGATATAATGGTTTAAATATTAATAGAAAGAAAAACAACCTTTTTTCAAAATTTTCAGACTGCCCCTGTAAAATTAACCTATCTTCTTTGGAGACCAAATGTCAATACAAATTCCATGAGAAAGCATAGCCCAATACATGGAAGAGAGCAGATATTCTAAGAGAATTCAAACACAGGTTGTTAGAAAACAGCCAATTACATTTTTTTCCCCAAAAATTTAACTCTTTTTACAAATCTGTCAAATGTGATGTAGAATCGTCTCAGGTTAAATTTGCTATCAAACCTTTTTTTCTCATTTAAAATACCCAAGATACTTATTACTATGTTACAACGAGATAAATGAAGAATGTGATTAGTTTGGGGGAAGATAAATCTGCTTCCATATTTACTTTTAAATAGCACATGTTTTTAAATATAATTTTCTCCAGGGTCCACTTACTTTTTAATCCCCTTGTGTTGGACTCCAGTGTTACTACTATGGCCATCTACATGGTCCAATCGCCCTCCTCTGAAATGTGTCTAAAAATATTTCATTCTGATGGTAAGATTTTTTTTTTTAATTAATTAGTTTAGACAAAATAAATAGCATGTTTGGCAATCAGATGAAGCATGTTAAGGATGCTAACCATGAAAAATTTCATACGTTCTTATTGTTTTGTTTTATTATAAAATTCTTCGCGTCCAATTTAAATTTAGCTGTAAAATCCCATTCCACTTCACCCTGGAGTTAAAAGAACTCTGAGTAGATTCGAAGCTAAGCCCAGTAAATAAACTCTTCCAGTTTAGCTATTTAATCAAGTGGCCTTGTTTTCTGTCCTTAATCCAAATGTGTTTATTATATATATCAGGAAGGAACAAAATGAAAACATACACAAGCAAGTAGGTTTTCTTTGAGAGACAATGGTAAACAATTGTTTAGTTGATATTAACACTCATCTCTTTGACAAGATTTTCATATTAACACGATTCAGCAGAGATAATATTCTTGACTAATAGGTCAATAGACATAAAATCAAGGGAAGCTCCTCCTCAAGGCTGTGCAAAATACATCTACACCCCTTAAGAATCGGCTACACACACTGACTTCTTCCCAAAGATTACAGTATGGAAAGAGGGAGCCGAGCACCTTTATGGTGGAGACACCTGGCAGACACGACCTACCTTGCACCAGGTGATCAACGAGGACAAGTGATGGTGAGAGTATGCATCCATATTAGATGTGATGAGATAGACATGTTACCTCTGTGGTCTTCCTCCCCCCAAACCATAACTCCAATCTAACTCTGAGAAAAACACCAAACACACCCACATGGAAGGATATTCTGTAAAATATCCATCTAGCAATCCCTAAAACTCTCAAGGTCACACAAACTATGCCATCTGAGAAGCTGTCAAAGACCAGAGAAGGAAAGAGTCGTGCTGACTAAAATGAATTAATGTGGTGTCCTGAAAAAGACAGATAAAAACTAAGGAATCCAAAGAAAGTACTGTGGCTCTAATATTAATGTATCAGTACTGACGCATCAGTTGGGACAAAAGCATCACGGTAATGGAACATATTGACAATAGTGGAAACTATCCTGGATGTGAGATATACAGAAACCGGACATGTTTAAAGTATTTTTGTAAATTGAAAACTATTATAAAATTCATATATATATTAAAATCACTTTGGGACTCAATTCTTTCCACAAATGTATCTTTCATTCTTTAGATGGAAATAACACGGTGTTGGGATTTATATTGTTTTGTGACATTCAAGTCATGTATCTCTCTGAACTTGTATGTACTTTATGTATACATTGTGTATGTATATTTCATATATACATAGTATGTGTACTTATATATACTTCTCATATACATATTATGCACGTTGTGCATACTTTATAAGTACATGATGTCTATTGAAAAATCATACTTGACATGGTTGTAAGAAGCAGTGAGGGAAGATATGCAAAGGGGCTGGCGAACTGTACAGTCTCCCCAGAGTTAATGACCTTGTCTGCTCATCCTTCCATGCATCAGAAATAGCACAAGTGAGGAGTCTCCAAATTACTTCCGTAATTACGTTCTCTAGAAAATAAACTAAGTACTTCCCGATACCAAGTAAATTCTATCCAAAGGACCAAGGAACAGTAATATTGTCCAAAAATAAATCTCTATATT